TAAATGGTCTTTGGGAAGCACGTGGTGGCGGCACCTTCGTGAGCGGGTATCTGAAGGGCGCTAGCTCCAGGGGCCAGGCACACTGGCGTGTGCTCTCCTGGGTGGCGCTCAGCTCTGAAGGCCTGGCCAGATTTATTCCTTGGTGGGTCTGGCCCCCTCCTGCTCTAGAGTGGCACTGGAGTGTGATGAGGTGTGTTCCAGGGAGGAGGTGCAGCACGTGCGTGTGGAGTTGGTGGTCTGCTGCACACACCTGCAGTCCTTGAGCTCTGAAACAGGTGAGCAGGGACGGACGCGTGCTCTTACCAGTCCTGTCTGTAGGCTGCAAAGGGTAAAACAGCCTAAGAAGGATGGCATTCTGTGAGACCTGGCTTGTTAACTTATACTTCACATAATAAACTTTTTGTTTGCTTTTTATTTGTAGCTGTTTATCAACTCAGAATAACTTGGGGGGGCGCGGTCAGAAAGCATTCACAGGATGTTCCTCTTAATGAATTTGCATGTTAAGACTAAACAATTTCAAAAGGTTTGGGGTTTTCTTAGTTCTCTTGAAGAAAGATTAGTCTTTCAAAAGCGTGGGTGCTTTTTAAATCAGTAGTTTTCAGATGTGGCTTTAAAAGTGTGTTTGTGTGGTGTATATGTACATCTGTATATGTATATGAGTGTGTGTATATATATATGTACATAAATATATCCACCTGGAGTGTCTGCATCTGGATGCCAGGGGTCCAGGTATCCCTCATTCAAAAGCTTCACTGGGTAACTGCTGTATAGCAAGGATTAATTGGGAATCTTGAGTGAGTGGCAGTGGCTCAGGAGCCTGATTTTAGCTCTTATATTCCCAGGGTAGAGAAAGGGAGGAGAACAAATATATAAACCCAAAGCATTCATTTTGACTTCAGCCTTAGTAAAAGTTACACCCTTTTTCCGCTAATACTCTTTTCATTTGCTTTTACTGCTCATGAGTATCTTACTTTGTTTTTTTGCCATCCTGACCATTTTCAAGGGTACTAGGCAGGAGTGGTAAACATACTGTGTTAGAACAGATCCCCAGAACTTTTTCACCTGCAAAACTGGAACTCTTTACCCATTGAACAATAATGCTCCTCCCCCAGGCCCTGGAACCATTGATCTACCTTATGTCTCTGAGTTTGATGACCCTAGGTACCTCATATAAGTGGAGTCCTACAGGATTTGTCTTTCTGTGACTGGATTATTTCACTTAGGGTAATGTCCTCAAAGTACCTCCCTGTTGTAGTATGTGACAGAATTTTTTTTTTTCATTTTAAGGTTGGATAACATTTCTCCGTGTGTGTGTGTGTGTGTGTGCACGCGCACACGCACTGTATTTTGTTTATCTGTTCATCTGTCCCTGGACGGTTGGGTTGCTTCCACTAGGTGGCTGTTGTGGACAGTGCTCCTATGAACATGGGTGTGCCAATATCTCCTTGAGACCCCGCTTTCAGTTCTTGGGAGTATATACCCAGAAGTGGGATTCCTGCTCTTATGTTAATTCTGTTTGTATACTTTGAGGAATCATCACGCTGTTTTCCATAGTGACTGCACCATTTTGTATCACTACCAAAGTGCGCCAAAGTTCCACTTTCTCCACATCCTCTATAGCACCTGCTATTTTCGGTTTCCTTTTTTTTTTCCTTAATAGTAGCCATCCTAATGGGTGTGATGTGATACCTCATTGTAGTTTTGATTTGCCTTTCTCTGATGATTAGTGATGTTGAACTTCTTTCCATGTGCTTGTTGGCTATTTGTATGTCATCTTTGGAGAATTGTTCATTCAAGTGCCTTGCCATTTTTTGAGTTACTCGATTCTGTTGTTGATTTATAGGAGCTCCTTATATATTCTAGATATTAACACCTTTTCATATATATGACTTGTAAATATTTTCTCCCGTTGTGTAGTTTGCCTTCTTACTGTTGATTGGGTCCTTTGATGCTGTCAGAAAAGTAATTAAATTTGACGTGGTTCCATTTTTCTATTTTTGCCTTTGTTGCCTTTGCTTTTGATGTCACATCCAAGAAATCTTTGCCAAATCTAAGGTCCTGCAGCTTTTTCCCTGTTTTCTTCTCAGAGTTTTATTGTTTTAGGTGTTACGTTTTGTTTTTTTTGTTTGTTCTAAGATAATTTTTGTATGTAGTGTAAGATAAGGATGCAACTTCATTCTTTTGCGTGTAGATAGTCAGTTTTCCCAGCACCGTTTGTTAAAGACGCTGTCGTTTCTTCACTGAGTGGCTTGGTATCCTTGTTGAAGATCACTGAACCATGTACACAGGATTTATTTCTAGACTCCATATCCTTTTCCACTGGTCTGTGTGTCTGTCTTTATGCCAGTAACACACTGCTTTGATTACTGTAGCTTTGTATTGTTTTGAAATAGAAAATGTAAGTCTTCCCACTTTGTTCTTTTTCAAAATTGTTTTGGCTAGTCAGGGTCCCTTGAAATTATGTACGGATTTCAGGAGGATTTTTTTTTCTTCTGTTTCTGCAAAAATCACTGTTGAAGTTTTGATAGTGATGGTGTTGCAGAAGTATTTTTAAAATAAGAAGACTTTTTAAAACAATCACTTCAGGAGTTGGCCTGAATAGTCTTAGCCAAAAAAGTCTCATAAATAAATATCCAGAAGATGAGAGCTAGTCTTTTACAGGTTGTTCTTGCCTCCCTTGAGGTATGGTCACTGTATAGGAAAAACCATTACCAGGTGTTCCATGAGCCTGTGCAGTTCCTAGAACCCCTTCCCAAAGATACTATCTGCATAGAACCATCTGGCTTCCCCCTTCTCCTAGTCTTAGTGGCTCATGTGAACTGAGCCTCCCAGTTGTGTTGGGTTTGAAAGACTGAGATAATTAGGGTGAATTAAGGTGGAGACCAAGTTCACAGCCTAGAATATCATGCACTTGTGTGGAGTCACCACTTCTGTCCCTCTTCTGAAGATAAGAACCTGTCACCCGGCTCTCACCCCTGGGTGGGAGAGTGTGTTCAGAAGTCACCCCGGCCCCCAGAAGGCACTGCGGTGATTCCCATGCCATCCTGGGCATGACAGGAGATTTTCAGTGGGAGATGAGTAGTGAGTGGATGTGGGTGGGGAGGTTGGGCATTTTTGGGTGGGAAGGGATGTTTTCTAGAAAGTTATATTGTAGAATTCACCATGAGGACAGTTTTTCCCCATTGGCCTGTTTTGCCTGTCATTTCTGAAACCCAGCCCTTAATGTGCTGTTACCTAAAAGAGAGCAATGGTCCCTGGTTGGGAAGAGGGTGAGAGGCCAGGGAGGTCCCCGCAGGCCTTCTTGCTTGGGGGCTGAAGCTGTGTACAGGGAGGGTTCACTTTGGCAGCAGCGTCTTGGATCCCCCATGATGGTGATGATATTTTCTCTCACCCGGAGCTGAAGTGGGACGGCACTGGACAGACTTGGTTGTCTGCAGGGATGGCCTTGGGATACGTGCTTCTTCATCACTGCTATTTCACAGGGAGACGTTGCTTCTCCGGGGCCTCTCTGCTGTGTGGCTGGTGCTCCCTGACCCTGGAGAGCAAGGGTTGGGGATGGTAATGTCACAGCGGACGCCTGTGCACGAGGGGAGTTGTGCAGAACCCAGTTGTTTTGCCATTCACGGCTTTAAAAACCACTCTCCTGGGGCGCCTGGGTGGCTCAGTCGGTTAAGCGTCTGCCTTCGGCTCAGGTCTTGATCCCAGGGTCCTGGGATCGAGCCCCACATCGGGCTACCTGCTCAGCAGGATGCCTGCTTCTCCCTCTCCCACTCCCCCTGCTTGTGTTCCCTCTCTCGCCGTGTCTCTCTCTGTCAAATAAATAAATAAAATCTTAAAAAAAAAAAAAAAGATTTAAAAACCACTCTCCTGACTCTAGCTGAACTGACAACAGTACCATATAATGCTCAAAAAGCTCTGGGTTTGGATTTATATTGAACTGGGTTCAGATCCTGGCATTGTCATTATTCAGCTGCTTCACCAGCAAGCTTCTTAATCTCTTGTGTAGAACAGAAATAATGGTACTTTACCCTCAAAATTATGGTAGTAATTATAATGCATTATCAGCTGCTTAGTGTTCGGTGTGAAAATCTGTGTCCTCAAAATGTCTCCTGCTCAGAACTCCACGGTCTTCATTATCGGCGCAAGTTCAGACTCTACCCTGGTATTTAAAGTCTCATACGCTGTCACCATATCGAACTTGTCACTTAGATCTTTCAGAGCCTCAGCAGAAATTCTTGTCCTTTCCTATCCCTGGTGCACAGCACCCTCATTCCCAAGTAGCCCGAGCGTGAATGAACTCCTAGCCCATCTCTCTGCACAGCCAGGTCCACCTAGAGGCCAGACCCCTCGCTCAGTCTCCTTCATCAGACCAGCATACTCCAGAGCTGGCAGTTGGTCTTTGTATCTCCGCCTGTGTCCTCCCTGAGATAGGCATTTGATGACTGAAATCTTGTTACTAACCTTGGTTTCCAGTGTGTTGTTTTGCTCATGAGCCACTGAGCAGATCCTCAATAAATAATCAGTCAACAAAAACAAACAAAAGCGACCCTCCGACTGTCATCTCAGGGTCTGGTTTTATGTACACAAAATATGTGAAAACAAAGCAAGTAAAGCATATTTTAATGCTTTTATGTCAGATTGGTTTTACAAATTAAAAACCTTGCTTGCTTTAGATAGTCATGCTTCATTCAGTGTCTGAAAAATCGGTCTTCCTTCTGATTTGCATGCCGTATCTGGGACAGATCTCAGAAACAGTCAACTCGGTAATCAGATTGCCTCTGATTAGAGGATAACAGGCCCTGATAGTTAGACTTGCTGTTTTTGTTTAAAGTTCTTCTAAATGCAAAAGCAAATTTGTTTTTATGAAGAATAAAGGAGTAACAACTGGAACTTCAGTGAAAGATATAGAAATGCCTTTATCATACAGCCTGATTCTTAGGAGTTCAGAATGTTTTTAGTGTTTTCCTTGGAAATTACATACTTCCATTTTTGTCTCCTTTAGTTGACCAGATATACCACCTGGCCTCTCCAGCCTCCCCTCCAAACTATATGTATAACCCCATCAAGACCCTGAAGACCAATACAATTGGGACACTAAACATGCTGGGTAAGTTGTCCTTTCCTTATTTCGCAGCTGTTGCTAGGAATGTTCTAGACAATTCCAGGCATAGGTCATTAACATTCTGTTAGAGTTTGATCTTGGTCTTTAGACCCCTCCTTCATCCCCTGTCCATGCTCTTTCAGAGTGCGTTTATGAGCCATCAGTTTTCACAGGGGACACAGTCATAGTAACGGGTCTGCATTGCCTCAGTTAAATCCCCTGGGAGTGACCACCCGTCACTGTGACCACGCATCCTTCTTCCCTTTCCCCTGTGACATGGTGTGTGTGTGCCTCTGGGCTGGAAGAGGCACTGGCGACTCTGATCCAGGGTTGGGTTTGTGTGGACTGCACACACCGACCTGTCAGGAGCGCTCCTGGGAGGAGCAGAAGACCAGCTGACCTGATGGGGTTGTCCAAGCTGAGTACCTGAGTCTAGACTGAACTGTGGTATTCACTTTGAAGGTGAAAGGTGACAGCGTGAACACCGGTAAAGGTGGCCAGCCGTGCACGTTCACAAACAACATGCCTCAGATTTATAGCTGTGGGTGACATGTACATATTAATGCTTAAATTAGAGACACCTGAAGTTTGACACGGGTTTCAAAAACTAGGGGTTTGATTAGTTGCAAAGTAGAAAAAAGGAACCACTTTTTAAAATGTCAAGTGAAAAATGGATTTAATTATGGGAACATTTAAAACAGCTTCTATGAATGGATTTTGGTAAATATAGCACTAAATTTTAATTTGGGGAAGCTTGGAGACAAGGGATTGAAAGGGCAGCCGGAGATTGGTTTTCGGATCTCTCAGACTAAACATTCTGGGGGGTCAAGCTCCGTGTGAAGTGAAATGATTCATTCTCCTAGTCTAGAAAGGGCATTTGTTCTCCTCTTTGTTGCAACCCATGCCCTGGCCACCAGATGAAACAGAGTCCCCACTTTGCTCCGAGGTGAGATGTTGGTAGAGCTGCTTGCTGCCTGTTCTTGCCGCCATCAGCTCCTGCCCCTGCCCATGCTCTCTCTGCTTCCCCAGCTGCCTCCTTCGTATCAAGCTAGATACAACTGGGGAAAAGCCACGAAGCCCAGGCTGTTTCAGAAGATAGCATTCATGGTGCAGTCACTGTGCCCAAGGCACTGTCCTGCCCTCAGATTAGGCTCATCCTCAGGCTCTTCTGGCAGGGAGCTTGGCCTTGGCGTTCCCTGGAGGAGGTGATATATGGGCCAGGCACCAGTGACACCGAGGAGGAAGGGATTGTTCCAGTGAAAGCTGTTAGAGTTCCAGGCGGAAGGGACCCTTGAGCCATGGCTGAGATTGGACCTGGAAGTCTGGAAGGAAGGGTAAACTCCTTTCAGGAACGACAAGGACAAAACCCGAAGTGGAGGGAGAGTTGCTAGGCGACAGAGACCCTAAGCGGGACTTCGTATTCTGAACAGAGAGAGGTGCTGTCATTAATCATTCTGCACTTGAGACAAGATGCAGCAAACCCCACACAGCCCCTTCCAGGTGGGGCCCTTCCCTGTCTGTGGCTCCCCCCTTCTCTGGGCCTGTGCTCGGCTTCTTCAGGATGAGACTTCTTTGTCCAGTCTCTGCATAAACACCTGGGCACTCGAGCAGCGCACATGGGCTCCCCTGGCTCCCCCACTGAGGGGTCTTTGTGATGATGCAGATGTTCTATGTCCTGAGTGTATCCGTGTCACTGTCCTGCTTGTGATGTCGTACTCTAGTTTGCAGGGTTTTACTGTCGGGAGGAACTTGGTAAACGGTACACAGGGTTCCTCTGTATTACTTTGTACAACTGCATGTAAATCTACAGTTGTCTTAAAAGTTTATTACAAAAAAACAAACCAGCTCGGGATCCTTCCTTTTGAAACTACTATCATTGTGGTATAAGTTATAAAGCCCGTAAGTTCCATATTCTGCTATGTCCCTCTAACATTTTTTGTTCCACTGCACTGTGGCATTTGCACAGATGATCTCCACATCCTTACTGTTTGGAGCCTGATTCTCTTGTTCTTGTTGCTCATCTTCCCTCTTCACAGCTCCCTGCTTCCCTCCCCCGGTGCTCCCACACCCCCCCTCCCCCAGGCCCCGCACACTGGGGCCTTTCTAGGTCGCCGGCCGCCCCTAGAAGCGTCTGCAGGTGGTGTGTACATGCACTTCACGGGCACCTCGGTGCACGGCACAGCTGGCCCCTCGGTCTGGTGATGTCTGTGCACAAAGGCTCCGTGAGGGAGTACATTCGGGAGACCCTGGGTTAAGCGAAGGGCAGTGGGTTTCTCTGGCTCAGGGCTGCTGTGAGCCTCTGAGGAACTGCTTAACGCTGGGAGTTTGTGTCTGGAGGACTTTGCCTACTCATATGACCACCATAGAGCACGATGTTCTAGCCTGTTCTACCTGCAGGGGGCTTATGCAGGACACGGTTCAGAGCTGGACACAGGAATGTGGTGACTTTCTTTGGAGAAGGGGCTGTTGAAACTGAGCCTCAAGGAGGCAGGAGGACAGGGTGGAGGGGCCCTGCCGGGGAGACTGGCTCAGGCACACTCGGAACGCCAGGTGGCGTGTTGAGGAAGTGGCAGGTGGACCGGCTTGTGGGGGGGATAGTGGAAGTGAGGGTGCAAACGGCCTTGCCTCTGCCTACCAGCGGTAACCCTGAATCCACCTTCCCAAACTAACAGACTCTCCATTTGCCCCTGCCTCCACTTATCAGTATCGGACTGAATACTGTGCTTCCGAGGGTTCATTTGTGTTTTTCTTTCTGGTTTTGTTTTTATTTTTGTTCCAGCATAGATGGCAGTGTGAGTGGATGGTTCACTGTGCACAAATGATCAGAGACGATTCATACTAAAAAATTTCATAAATTGGCTACAAAAATGGGCATGCACATGTCATCTCCTCATTTCCCTGAAGCTAACAGCTTCTCTGATCCTATCTTTGCTTTCTGCAGGACTTGCCAAGCGAGTTGGTGCTCGTCTGCTGCTGGCCTCCACCTCGGAGGTGTATGGAGGTGAGTGGCGGGGGGCCCACAGGGCACTGGCTCTGGGCCCATGGGACTGTCTTAGGTGAAGAAGGAAGCAAAAATGAGTCCAGGATTCCACTGTAAGAAGGCCCCACCTTGCTCTCCCTGTTTGTGTGCGAGGCAGCAGAGAGCCTTCCCGGCTCAGCCATCCATGTCTGCTCTCAGTGGGCCGAACCCCTTTCCTCCTGCTGAAGAACGCTCTTGGAGGACCGTGTCCTGTCACCTGGCCAGTAAGCCCCACCTCGGACAAACCCATGGAAGTATTTTTTCCATCCTGCTATGAAAGGACCCCAGAGATCATTGGTCAGGGATTTCTTTTGCCACTTTTTTTAGCTGGTCCATGTTATTCTTCAGTGTGAGCAGTGGGTGCAGTGAGCCTGACCCACCGAGATCGCAGAGCTTGGCCTTTGCTCGCTTGGCAAAGAGATAGGTGCTGATTGCCTCACCTGTTGTATAATGATTTCTGGAAGAATCTTAAGTAGGTAGTGCCAGAAAACTCCTGAGCCTGTTTTGCCAACCTGCAGCACTTCACCCCCGTCGAGGCCTTGAAGGCAGTCAGCATTCGGAGTGGGGTGAGGGCTGTGGTTCAGTTCACATTGATTTCTTTTCGGCCCCAAACCAACCAGTGCAGGCTTGTGCAGGTTTGTGGAGAACTGCTCAGTTGAAGCAGCAGAATCTGGACTCTGACATGGTGTAATTTGTCTACTGCACATTACTGTTTTGGACGAAGAAATGAGGAAGTCACGGGGCAAAATAGGAAGAGATGTGTGTGGTTTTTTTTTTTTAAATAAGGGAACCAAGTGAAAAAAAAATAGAAACAAATTCTAAATGCAGTTCTGTTCTCTGTAATCCCTGTGAAAAGGTGGAGCACAATCCACTTTGAAATCTTGGCAGTTAAAAGCGTCCACTGCCAACCTGTTTGGCCAGTTGCTTTTGGAACGGGCATTGAGTGGACTTGCATTTCTCCTTCCTGTCCTTTCCGTAGCAAGACTTACCAAGGGATCAGTACGTTTCCCTTTATAGGGCATTGGATGATTCCCCTTTGCTTTCTGTGTGACAAGAGGAGTGGTGTTGATACAGTTCAAAGGGCTAAAGCTTTTTAAACGTCTCAAATATAAAGGTACTCCTCTTATTGGTCCAAGAGGGCACAATGACATGTTTTCCCTGTCCAGCCTTCTTCCTCCGTTGCCTCATTTATTATCTGCATATTTGATGACACCTCATGTTCCTTAGGGTTCTTAAATGACATCAGGGTGTAACTGGCTGGCTCCGGTGTTTGATCACTGCAGTAAATGGATGCTTCGTGGAGGGGTGATTGGTGGGTTACCCTCGCAACATACCGAGAAGGGAAGACTAATTGGAAATCACTTTCGACTCTAGATCTTTTTTAACGACAAGGTGTGGGGACTTTATAAAGCCGTGTCTTGAACCTTGGGCATCTGGACACCTCAGCCCAGGGGTGCCCATCAAGGAGCAGAGTCAGGGGTATGCCCGATCTTCTCTTTCTTGCCATTTGCTCAATTTATGACAGTCTCTCTGGAGTCTAGGTGGCCCAGCTCTTGTCAAAAATCCCCAAAAAAGGTCTCTCGATTGTTACATCTGTGTGAAATTAAGTCACTGGTTTTCTTCTCTCAGGGAATATTCGCCATAGACCTTTTCTCTCATCCTGCAGTAAAACTATGCCCCCCTTTTAAGAGAATTTTAAACCACAGCAGTGGCTAGAGAGGTCTGAGTCTGTGCCTTGATTCCATCACACTGCAGGGGAGTGCCAGCCTCCTGAAGGGGGCCGGCCGGCTTCGGCACCTGTGTATTCATGTCTCTGAGCTGCGTGGGTCCCATTGTCCCCATGAGCTGAAGTCAGATTTTGGCTTTAAGATAAGCAAGAACTGAATTTATAACATAGAGCTCCTGTACATTGTTCAGATTTCTTGGCAAAGATTTATACATTTTATACTATGGCTGTATGTACCATATACATAAGGTTTTAATTCACATTTCAAAAATATACTTGTGTTACAAAAGCATTTGTTACTAGGTTTCTTTAAATAGTCTGTCCCCTTGGCACATCTTAAAATGTGATTGATTTACACACGAGAAAAGCAGGAATTGGGAATATAAAATGTGTGCTAAAGGGTCAAGCAGTCATTTGCCTTAGGACACTCTGTCCTTCTGCCTACACAGACCAGGGTACTGATCGTCTCAGTGAGGTTCTCAGTGAGCTCCTCAAGTTTGTTCTCATGTTGTTGGCACATGGGAAAGTCCACGTGTTCCACAGAGATGCTCTTACAATTATTTCAGTAAGTACATGCTTTACTATGCTTATTTTATAAAGTGGAACCATATATTCCTTCACATAGATTACATTTAATTATAGTTTGTATAATTAAATGTTAAGAACAATTTACGGGGGAGAGGGGAGACTTGCAATTGAGTGACCTTGGTCTTATAAGTTATTTTTTTCCCTGTAAAACACTGTCTTTACTTAATACGGGAGGTAAGAAGAGTGCATCCCTCTGGAACTGGGGAGAATGGACTGTGCCACATTGATAGGTATCTCCCCATTTGTAAATGTTTACCTTGGTCTTTCTAGAGCAGTCTTGTGCATCATAAATATTCATCATTCAGAATGCATATGAACTTGATGAACACACAGTCTCACTTTCCCACACTCCTAGATCCTGAAGTCCACCCTCAGAGTGAGGAATACTGGGGCCATGTGAATCCAATAGGACCCCGAGCCTGCTACGATGAAGGGAAGCGCGTTGCCGAGACCATGTGCTATGCCTACATGAAGCAGGTATGGAGCCGCGTGCTGGGGGCTTGGGGTGTAGATGCGCAGAACACCCGTTCCATCAAATGCAGAGCGCCATACAGGAGTGAAATGCCGTGATTAAGTTTGCCCGACAGTGGCTACTGGAGAAGCTTAGTTTCCCACTACTATAAATTAATAGTATTATCAACAGCTTTTCCTGTGTATGTCCTTTTTTAAAAACGATTTCCTGGAGATAAATGCTCCAGTGTGGAATGCTGTTGCATGGCTATTAACGGTACATTTCTCTATTGCCTGATTGCTCACCAGCAGTTAGTAAGTGCTTCTGTTTTCCTGAAGCCTCCAAATCAGTGAACTTTATTATTATTATTATTATTTTTACTTTGAGTTACTTAATAGGTATAAAAATGAATTTGATTGTTTTAATTTGAAACTTTTTAGGAATTGTTATTTATAGTTATTTACTATTTCCTGATTTCTTAATTATTCATTGCCACACTGGGGGCTTCTCCCATGGATGACGTCATGTTGCGGATCTGCTCACCTGCATACTGTAGCAGAAGGAGCCCGTGAGACTTGAGAGGTGGAGGGTCTGGGTTCCCACCCTGGCTCTGCCTCTGTGTGCCTTGAACCTGTGACCCATCTGTCACAGCACTGTGACTCTAGGCGAGGGCCCAGCTAGGCTGCGGTCACTGTCTCTGAGCTTGGACCAGCTTTCTGACATCCTCACGGACGTGCCCTCTGGTAGAGGAGGGAGGGCATGGGGGCAAATCATTGCAGACTGGAGTCAGCTGATGTGGCCTATGCTCCGAGGACTTAAGAGACTTGGATGTCTGTCCCTGAGAGCAGCATTCTGAGGCCGAGGATCCTGCCTGCCGGTGAGCTCAGATGGTCATGTTTTGCATGACGGAAGAGGCGTGTCAACGTGCCTACCACTGAGTGTCCCTGAGCATCTTTTTTTCGCAGAAGAGAGTTGTCAGGAGCTTTTTTCCTCATGTCTTTAATGAAATACCAACATTAAAGACCCATAGAATACTGTGCTGATGGAGGTATTTATTTATTCTGTCTTCTTTCTCAGAGGAAACACTGATTGCTTTCTAAGCTACTTTGAGCAATTGACTCATATTATCCATTCATTTTAAGAAACGTAAATGAGTTCTGGAAAGGACCTATCTTTATAGGACTTCAAGTCAAGTCCAGAATACTTGACTCCACAATTTAGGACGGTCTACCAGATACAGAGAACAACCTCTGGATATGTTGGTACTTGAGAAGACTAACCTGAGTGCTTGAGGGGCACGTGTTGCATTTTATTGCATAATAAGTTTGAAGACTGTCGTGTTTCTCAACTGTTGGCTTGTGCTTTCAGTCTTGTGGTATTTCTTAGTGAGTTTTTATATAGGTTAAAGCTGGTGGGCAAATAGGACATTTTAATTGAACTCTTGGTTTTTATTAAATGAGTCTAGTGAGTCTCTAGGTAATACCTACTTCCTCAAGGTATGACCTCATGATAATTGTAGTATTTAGTAATACTGTAGCCAGCATTCGTTGAGCACTGACTGTATGCCCCGAACGGTGATACACACCGAGGCACTAGCCATAGCCAGGGTGCTCTTTTCAAACACAAACTAGCACTGCATCTCTACATGTCATCCGGCTCATGAGCTCAGGAATATAGCATCTAGAAAAATCTGGATCTGTCAGCATTTACATTTCCGTCCACAGAGGTCTTGGGAGGTTAATGGCATGGGTAGCATTGCTCTGAAAACTGCGAAGTCATGTTCCCATTAGCAGCCCCTTGTGTGTACAGTTGATCTGTGCCTAAGTGTCCCTGATAAGAGCCCTGACAGGAGGGTGTCCCTGCATAGCAGGGGCCTTCCTTGTGAGGGACAGTCACTCACGGGAAAGCTGCCTTTGCCGTGGGATGTCTGGCTTGTGTTGCACACACAGGAGGCCCTAACAGACGATCGCTGCGGGGATGGAGGAGTCACACTGGTGGTCAAGTTAATAGTGTGCTTCTCCCTGGGACGCTGAGGGCTCTACATGTGGGAACAGTGTATGGATCGCTTCCTGTCACGGCACTAGGTTTGGGAAGGCCTTGTGGAAGAAGGGCTCTGTGCTTTTTGAGAAGCCTGGGGTCTAGGCTAATTGCACCCAGTAGTCTGTAGATTCGTCTGGGCTCATCACATTGCTTAGCGCACCTGCTCAAGGACTCCTGTCTGCCTGGGGGAGTGTTACAGTCACTGTTGTCTGGGAATACCACCTGCCCCTTGTGGCAAGCTGGGACTTAGGAGCAGATGTGATGCAAGCCCCTTGCTCCATAGCACTGCTCCTGCTCCTTCTGGATGGCCTGAGGTCAGGGAGGGACCGCGCCCGTGGAGGGCAGGGTCATGTCCGGTTCTGGTGGCCGCCCGGCAGACGAGTGGAGCTTATGCCTCTTGATGTGGGGAGAGCGTGGCCAAGGGCGGTGCCCGAGTTCTGAGAGGCCTGTGAGGAGGGCCCAGCATGGGCTTCACACCGTCCCTCCCCTGGTGTTCATCTCACAAATACTCTGCTCCCTTGCAGGGAGAGCCATGGGTCCAAGACCGGGCCCCCTTGGGGTTCTGTCTCCCTCCTTAGTTTGGATCCTTGCTGAGGAGGAAGAAACATGGGTGCATTTCCTGTGGTGGAGAGGTGTTTGTGTTCCTGCTCTGGCAGGATGCATGGCCAGGAACAGAAAATAAGAAAACACAGACGAGCAGGAAGGAAGAAAAGTTGTTATCCGTAATCCCATCTAGACACAAAAATAAGGACAAAACCAAGGAAAATAAACCACCATGTGAAGATTGTGAAAAGGTAAACATTTAAGACGTTAAAACAAATCTTTTTACTCAGGATTTTATTATTAGCTACCAGAAAGGGTGGGGTTGGCCCTCTCTGGGTGTGGCCTGGTATTGTGGGGATGGGGGGGGTCAGGGTTGGTCCCTCTGGGTGTGGCCTGGTTTTGGCAGGGGTGGGGGGGGTCAGGGTTGGCCCTCTGGGTATGTCCTGGTCTTGAGGGGCCGGGGTTGGCCCTCTGAGTGTGACTTGATCTTGGGGGGTCAGGGTTGGCCCTCTGGGTATGGCCTGGTCTTGGGGGGTCAGGGTTGGTCTTCTGGGTGTGGCCTGGTCTTGGGGGTCAGGGTTGGCCCTCTGAGTGTGACTTGGTCTTGGGGGGTCAGGGATGGCCCCTCTGGGTATGGCCTGGTCTTGGGGGGTCAGGCCTGACCCTCTGGGTATGGCCTGGTCTTGGGGGGTCAGGGTTGACCCCTCTAGGAATGGCCTGGTCTGGGGCAAATCAGACCTTCTTTGGGGTTCCCACTCGAAAGTGACTGATTTTCAGAACTCTAACTTCTGCTGCCTTTCCTTCTTCCTTAGTGGACATAACCCTTCTGGACTCTGAGCGCTCAGCACGGCGCCCTGCAGTCCGGAGGCTGTGCCCTGCAGGGCTGCAGTGGGTGTTGCAGAGGAGCCAGACCCTGTGGGCTAGGAGTGCCTGTGGTGTGCTGGCATCCTCTGTTAGGGCTCAGCCTGTAGCGCAGATCTGTTTAATCTCACCTCATTCTCATGACCCCTTTGAGGTAGGGCTGGGTCACCCATTTTACAGATGGGAAAGTGGCTACAAAACTTGGGTTGAGCTCCTCAGCCGCTAAGTGGAGTTTGAACCCACACCTGGCTGTCCAGCTGCCGATGGCCCTGGTGGGGCTTGCAGGTGAGGAAGCTTGGCTCAGCAAGAGAAGATGCAGCTGCAAGTCCAAGGGCATCGGCGCTCCTCTGAGGCACGCACGGTCGGTGAGGACACCCAGAGCCAGCAGTCCACGCAGCTCTGCTCTAGAATTACCAACCTCTCCTTAGAGCGGTGTGGTTAGCCAGCAAGGAGTGGTGTTGTGACGTGCTCTGTTCATAGTTAGACATATTCAGCCTTTCAGGACAGCAAGATAGATTCAAGACTTTAGGTGTGCGATTTGTGCTATCTGTCTGGAAACAAATGAAAAAAGAATGACCAGAGAGAATGGGAAATCATCATCCTTTGGCATATTTTTAATTAATTGTTTTAATAACTTTAACTCTTATTTTTTTTTTTTTTTTACATGATACATCCTTTCTTAAGTATAAGTTGTCCCTTCATTGTGAAGACCACATACGGTAGAACTTTTCTAAAGATCTAAAGGAAGGTTTTCCCTTTTCCAAAGGATTCTCAGGATTCTGAGTTCATTTTCATGTATGGAAATACCCTAATGTATTCTAAATAGAACTGGATTTCCCAGAAAACTCTGTCCCACATACCCATTTTCAAACATGTCCTTCATGGAAAGAGAAGCTCCCGTGAGTCTTCTTCCAGGGGATGGAATGAGTTGGAACCAAAGAGGATTTTCACCTTTACAAAAACATCCAGAAAGCAAAACTAGTGTTCAAAGTTTGTTTTGCAGTGAGTCATGACAGAGGTGGTGACACCCCGAGCCCCTTCCCCGGGAGCCCCACTCAGCGTTGCACCAGGTGCCAGAGCCCTGACCTGTGTCTGTGAGCATCTGAGCTTAATCTCGAATTATTCCGCTCATGTTAGCAAGATGTGTCTGCAGGTATCAGAAAAGCCTAAGAAAGGTTATTTTTGGGGCCTGGGAAAGCTCAAAAATGGTTCCATGTAAGTTCATGGTAATTGCTTCTTTATTTTATGTCACTCCTGCTTCTGAAGGATTTCATAGGAACACCCTACTTTTGGGTACCAGGAGAAACCTGTCCTTTGAACTTGTCAGAGAGGAATTAAAGTGCACTTCCTTTGTGCACTTGTATGCAATGCTTTTATAAATGTGGGGACTTTAAATGTGGGGATTTGTCTGCATGCTGTGGTCAGTGGTTGGTGTGTATTTGAGCTCCAGGCCGTGCATGAGTATGACTCTCTGGAGTCTGTGGCCCACCCACAGGGCTGGGTCTGCAAAACAAGCCACCCTTCATAAAAACGTAGATTGGCAGAGCAGAAAGACAGAAAACTCCAAAATCATCTAGTCCAGTGGTCTCGAGGTTTTGTTTTATTTTCCAGCATCAGAATACTTTTAAAAAATGAAATAGTTGGTATGTATATTTTAGTTCAAAAAACAGATATTCAGCAAGCAGCTAACAAGTCAAATGTTTGAAGATAGTATTCACCCTTTAGGGGTGAAGACCCAGTGTCACCTTGTTTCCTGGCGCTGCCGCATGCTCGCCGAGTACCTGCCCTCCACACCTAGAAACTGGCAGAGTAGTACTTGACCCCTCCTGGCCTCGCTGTGAGCGTTGGCCTAGCCTGCTGCATAATGAACACTCCTGACTGATTGTTAAGACCAAAGCAGGGCCGTTGAGGGAGATTGCCAGATAGACGCATAACTGCTGTCCCCTGACCTTGTATGGCCTTGTCCCTTTGGCATCACCAAGAGTGAATTGCAGCTTTTTAGCACCTTGGAGAACCATGCTCAGCAAGATTGCTCTGTGTTCTGTAATGGCCTTCATCTTCTCCCCAGGTAGGGAGCAGACCCATTAGGATGCATTTAGGAGAGGCCATGGAGGAATTACACGGTTCAGTGTTCAGGGTCTCACAGTCCTATTGCTTTCGTGATGTGTGTGCACTTCTCCTAGGGGCATGAGGAAGATTATGGAAGCACCACAAAGTCAGGCCCATTGTACCTGGGAGCACTTTTTGTTATTTCTCTGACCCCATCCCCTGCCTTAGGTACCCCCTTCAGGGCAGGCGGCCTGCACCACCGAGTGGGCGGCAGATGGCCAGCTCTTGGTCAGCACCTGCTCCCTCCCTATGCAGGGCTTCTGTGTTCCATCTTCCGGCACCTGCCATAGTGAAGACAGGGACTGTGATCATACTGTGTGGTTCAGTGGCTTGAGACAGTACTCACCAGGGAATGACTGCATTGAAAAGAGCTTTTGAGGGAGAACCCATTTAATCCCTGCTGGCAACATTTCTCTCCTCTGGAGAGGTTTGTGGAGGGAAGAGTCTTTGTTCCAAACTTCACTGTATCTCTTGGGTTACTGCTGGTTGATTAGTCAGGCCTGCCTTCCAACTGCTCACCCCTCCTGGGCACTAGAAATAAGCAAGGAGACATTCTGATGGCAGCTCACCCTTCTGGGATTGTATATTATTGTAGCCTGGCCACTGTTTCTGAAGCCCATTTATCAGAGCAAGCCACGTGCTCTTTACCTGTGTGTGCTTACATACACTCACTCAAGGGGCGCCCTGAGCATTGTCTTCTCTCAAGTTGCTACTGGTTTTATGTTGCTGTGACTCAAACTTAGAAGAGTCGTCCAGATGCTTGATAAAAACTTCTTGATGCTTGGAGTCATGAGCGAATGACTCCTGATCCTCACCCGGGACAAAACCATGGACACAGTGAAACCCAACCATTCTTAATGACCCGGCGGTTCCTTTTCTGAATCGCTGTTGCGCGTACGTGTGTGAGTGTGCAGAGACCCTGCATTGTGCCATGGTGGAAATTCAGATGCACCAGCCTGGTAGTCAGCAGGACACTGCCCCTGGCAGATGGAATATTGAGTGTGAGTTAAGAGATTGTGCATGTGTTTGCTCATTGGTCCTGCAGAGGAGGGTCTCCCTGAAGAGGCATCGCGGCCTATTGGGCACCTTCTGGGTTTTCATTCAGGGAAGCAGGCTTTGGGTCAGATACTGACCCTTTGTTCAGGCCTGAGATGGGGAGTCATTATACTTGCCTCCAAAATGTGGATGTGAACACCCACTGGGCTGCCACCATAAGCATCCGTGTCAGTACCTGCTGATGGGTCCGCCCTCCCACTTGGAGCCCCTGCAAGATCCCAGGGGATGAGGGCTGATGAACTGTGCATGCCGAACGGGGGTGGCCTTTGTGTCCTGATGAAGCAGGACACAAACTCTGGGAGATGCCAGTGCGCGAGAGGAGAGCAGGTCTTAAGTTGAGTGAGCCTTGGGTTTATGTTTATTTCGTTTGAGTTTGAGAGCTGGAGTTTTCAAAAAAAGCATGGTGGCTATCCCAGCAACTGTACCAGTCCAGAGGCGTTGTCCTGTAGCACCTAAGTTCACAATTCAAACGGGAAAACCAAAACAAACAAACCTGTGTACATGCTGGCCAGTTCATGTCCGCAAACACAGCTTCTGTAAGGCTGTGTTCTGGAGTGTTGTCCCCGAGGACAGAGAAGTCCAGAAGATGAAAGCATTTGATTTGTTGCAAACCTTGCATAGCCTCTGCAACATGCCCAGTAGGCATGTTGGTTTGACTCGTAAATTTGATGAGGTTTTCCAGTCTATTTCTAGGATAACACCATATTCATCTACTTCTCATTCTTCATCTTCACAATTAAATGCAAATGGATACTTTCTGAGTTCTTTTCTGTTGAGATCAACATCTCTGCTTCTTTCTCCTCCTCCCCCCATTTTGGAAATACTCTCTGGTTAGTTCAGCAGAGAAAGGAGTTGATTTATTCCTGGACCTAGGATTATAGCTCATACCTTAATCCTAAGACTCTGAGTAGCTCATGTGAGCATTATAATGCATTGCTGGGAGGAATTAGCAAAAATATAGCCGTCTGGTTTCTAGAAGTGAGCTGTGTGCTGGATCCATGCTTCCCAACCGTTTCAGATCTCGGTGCACATAAAAACTGCTCGTGTTTGTCTAGTAACTGGGACAGAGCTGAGGCTGCTGTGGGCAGAGGTGGCCAGCCGGGTGGCAACATGGGTCCTTGGGACACGGTACCTCATCACCTCTCACTCATTACACTGGTGGAAAAATCTGTGCTGAATCAGCCCTGTTAGTTGAGGGTTCTTTGGACCCCAGCCTGTACCGGACCTGAAGTGGTAGAATTAGAAAACTTTCGGGGCGCCTGGGTGGCTCAGATGGTTAAGTGTCTGCCTTCAGCTCAGGTCATGATCCCAGGGTCCTGGGATCGAGTCGCGCATCGGGCTCCCTGCTCCGCGGGAGGCCTGCTTCTCCCTCTCCCACTCCCTCTGCTTGTGTTCCCTCTTTCGCTGTGTCTCTCTCTGTCAAATAAATAAATAAAATCTTTAAAAAAAAAAAAAAAAAAGAAAAGAAAACTTTCTGGATGAGTAGAGACAACAGTAGCAACCACTGCTGTTCGCTACCAGGCCCGGGCCAAGGGTTATGCAGGGATTAGGCTTCCTTTTTGTGAGCCCCGTGTGAGGTGAGTACGCTCCTCTCCCAAGTACAGTAGGGCTGAGCAAGGGTAAGTGGAGCTGGAGGGCTCGTGAGCCCCGGGGCCTCGCCCTGCCATCCTGCCTGCCCTCAGACTCCTGGAAAATGCACGTCTGTAGCCTAATGGGTGAAACAGATTAGACACACAGACACTGTGGAAGTCCACTAATTCAGGGTGTGATAAAAACATTAATTTTTGATTCATGAAGAAGCAGCCTGTGAAATTAATAATTGCATGAGATAGTTTCAAGAAGGCTTTGGGGTTTAAAAAACATACTTTCCTGATCACATATTTGAAATATACTTTTCCTGATACGAAAGTAATGCGTATTTATTGTAACAAAAATAGAAAGATCTAAAAAAACACGTAGGGGCGCCTGGGTGGCTCAGTTGGTTAAGCGACTGCCTTCAGCTCCGGTCATGATCTCAGGGTCCTGGGATCAAGTCCCGCGTCAGGCTCCCTGCTCGGCGGGGAGTCTGCTTCTCCCTCTGACCCTCCCCCCTCTCATGCTCTCTCTCTCTCATTCTCTCTCTCAAATAAATAAATAAAATCTTTAAACAAAAAATAAAAAAAACACGTAGGAGAAAATGAACACCTATAATCCGACCACGTAGATATAGCTATTCTCAGTGATGTTGGCACAGATCTTTCCAGGTTTTGTAGCTAGTAGCCCATAGGGGGCGCTGCATTGTCTTTAGTTTTTCACTAAAACAAGTCTGTTTTCTGTTGGGACAGATTGGGGGGTGTAGGGCAGTGTGCCGCTTTAAGAATGTGTGTCCCCCCTTTTCCAGGATAAAGCACTTGCTTGTTTTTCTTTGCATCAGCTACCAAACATTCATTGACCTTTAAAATCACTATTGACTGGTAAACCTGCACGAAATACCATGTGAAGATGATTATAAAAGAGTATGCACGGCATGGCCCTATTTGGGAAATATTTATTTACTAGGAAAAAAATGTTCTACAAACCTTTTTCCCCTTTTACTGCTTGCTGCCTTGCAGGTTCTCTGCCTTGCAGGTTCTCTGCCGGGAGGTCGATGGCCTGATGGGGGTGGAATCGGGGATGCATTCGAGTTTGGTATAACTCTGTGCAGTGTTCAGATTTGTTAGTGAATGTATTGTGTAGACACTACATAATAAAGCCACTTTCATCTGGGAGCAAAAAGCAGGGCGTTTTCAGACTTGCTTTATGGGCCAGGCATCGGAAACATGAGGTGAAATGAAATGCATCCCACATCCTCTTCTCCTGTTCCAGGAAGGCGTTGAAGTGCGAGTGGCCAGGATCTTCAACACCTTTGGGCCACGCATGCACATGAATGATGGCCGGGTCGTCAGCAACTTCATCCTGCAGGCGCTGCAGGGCGAGCCGCTTACGGTATGTGCCGGCCTTGGGGGGAGGGGGCGGGGGGAGGGCAGAGTTAGCTGTCTACCAGCAAGTGACAAAGGAGCAGTGCCTCTTGGTTCAGGCAGTTACTTTCCTGAGGTTGCCCCTTTGCCTTGGGTACATCCCACTGCCCTTAGTGACAAGGAGGGAAGGTGCAGGGCTGGAATCTAGTAGAGTGACGGAGCCTTGGTGGCCTTGCCTAGTTCGTGGGCTGCAGCCTGGTCCACGTGGCCCGGGCCTCGGGGTGCGTCTGCCTGCACCAGCCTGCAGGCAAAGACCTTTCTGGATGTTCTCCTGGCCCACGGGCTATAGCCAGGGCCATGTGTATCCTCGGTGCCCCTCAGGTTGCTGAGAAGTGAGGTATCTGGGGCAGGTCTTGGCAGTTTTCTTGGTGATGCCCAGAAGCATGCCCTCTGCTTGTCAGGCTCAACCTGGGAGCCTTCTGGAGCCCACCTTCTGGACCTCAGTGGTCTGGGGTCAGTGGTTTGAGTGTATGGTGCAGGTGAGCACCCTCAGATACCCACCCTGCATTAGGGTGGGTGGCTCGTTCCACACACGTCCCCACCGCCCCTGTCCCATCCTCAGGGAGGAGTGGTCCTCTCCTGCTCTACAAAGGGTTTGCTGATTCAGTTCTGTTGGTTTTCTTTGGTTTAGCTGAATTCTTGGTGTTCTCTTCCTCTCCTCTTCTGCTCCTCTGTCCTCTTGCTTTTTTCATTCCTCCTCCTCCTGTCTGCCTCAGCATCCTCTTCCAGCCTCAGCATCCTCCTCCTGTCTGCCTCAGCATCCTCTTCCAGCCTCAGCATCCTCCTCCTG